AGTAGATTTGGAACGCTGCGGAGTGGAAACAAGGAAAATTTGAAATAAGGACGAAAAATTGATTGATTCTCCTTTGTATGTAATAAGATGATTTAAGCAAAAAATGAAGTCTGTAACCTAGAGAATGTCGATCTTTGTTACGCTTTCATGATTAAACTGTTTTTTGCACCCGCCCATGAATTTGATGGTGAAAAATTGATCTGCATTTCCATGCTACCAGTCAGGAGTGCCTTATTTTAGAAATCGACAGCAGCTATGTTGCAAGCACAGTGTGTAGCCTCTTGTTTCTTTACCACAGACTGGTACTCATTTATGAATTTCGGAAGGAAGAAAGGATACTGATCCTGGCCAGTGCTCGAACCTGGAACCTCTCGGTTCTGAGTCAGATGCTCTACCTACTGAGTAACGGTCTTCCAACGACCACAAGACGATTGAAGCTACAGAATTAATCATTAAGCATTAAATAAGCACTTGAATAATTAAATAAGTATTTGAAGGCCTCCTTCCGAAGATTCAGGGAACTTTGACCGTACAATAACATCCTTCGCACCACTTCAATGATCATGATCAAAAAACATGGAGCATTAAAGTTATCCAAATTTTTACATTCATACGGTCATCCCTCTGATCATACGGGTTATATCCGCCACTAACGCTGCTTAAGTGCATTTACTGTTTGTCGTAACGGTTGCGTGGTTTTAGTTTGTATTTGTCGTGCGGATTTCGAGCGAAACCATAAGCGATCAAGAAATTCGACTGGTGACCTCCTAAAGATTTAATCGAGAACAAATAAAAAAGTAAAAGTTTTCAGGCGTTCAAAAGACTGCATCAGAACTACTGTGCGCTCTTGTTTAACCCGTTCCTAAAGCCGGGTACGGGATTCGAATCCAAGTAAGACGAAGGCGGTTCTGGCGCTGCACGTCTTTGTTACACATTGATTTATGGACGGTTTTAGGAGGTGGCGTGAAACGGTGAGTTCTCTGTTGATCAAAGAGTAGAATTCTGTTTGGCGCAACCAATGCTCGAAGTTGTTATTCTTTACGTTATTAGTGGTCATTTGGATTTGAATCCTTACGGAGCAAGTTCAGCTCCGACCCGTCTTGCACTTCTTCCACATTTCCCATGACCTGGTCAAGGTCCAGCAATTTATCATTGTACTCCAAAAGTAGTTTCTGTAAAATAAACAAAATTTCAACAGCACTGTATGCTAATTTCGATGTGCCTGAACTTCAAATTAAATTTTTTAAACAAAATTAATGATAAATTGGAGACGTTTAATGGTACGGCCCATAAAATAAATCACAAAGCAATAAATTAAACGCTGTCCAAGTCATCAACACGGTACTACATCTGATATACTGAAGGCACTTAAATACTACTGAGTCATGACCTTCTTAAATGCTCCTGGGGTAACTAGAAGCAAGGGGACGATGCATTTTCAACGTCTCGTGTCAATCCGGTATCAGTAATTGAAATGCAAACAAAGGGGTTATTCACTGGTCACAAATACACTGAGGAATGATACCAATAACAACACGTTTACATGTCTAATATGGGAGATCCTTCTTGCGAGAGGAATATGATCACTGCCATAACAGGGTCGATTTTAACGAAACCACTAATTAGGGTAAGTTTAATATTGCAAGATTATTTGGCCATATCTAACTATTATAACCAATATATGAACTTTGAAAGCGGCCCCGGTCTATATGATGCACTTGACCTCTAAGTTAACATCAAAAGGGAAAAGTTTCTGCTTTGATGTGACCTCAGACGTCGTAAAAAAACAAAGATATAATCGACTGATACTTTTTGATCCGGCTTGTTGTTGAAATTCGGTATCTGTGCTTGCTTGGCGATGAAATCCACACATCGCCCGACTGTCCATTCCTGAAGATGTGACCGTGTCATAAGAAACGTTCAATAAAATCCAGATTTAATTAACCTTCGACACAAGCAAATCTATGAATGTCATGCCTTTAAAAGTGTATCCTCCCATCAGGTGAACACGCAGGTATCGTCTACCTTCTGGAGGCACTGTATTATAATCTCCAACCGCATTAATCTTGATTTTCATTAGTTTGACCTTCCGTTCGATGGGACTATCAGTTTTCGAAGTAGCTGACACAAGAGGTTGCTTTCCTGTCACGAATATTTAGATTATTTTAATATATCCTTCTTCACCATAAGGCATCGTGTATTACCTTTAGCCAAGGACACACGAGGACGATTTCGCAACGATGTACCTTCAGATTTTGTCGTCTGATTGAGTACTAGCTCGGTACATCCGTGATTTTCAGATAAACGGTGCCTGAAAACAGCTTTACTTTTACGCACACTGGTTCAGTCTCCCACTTCAGACAGTGCGTCCGGTTACACAATCGGCACGGAAAAGCGAACACAGTCGAAATACCACAGAATTTGCATTCGCTCTGGTCATTCGCAGCAGTACTGCCTAAAATCGATTCATATATCAGTCAGCAAACGCCGGTTATTGACGTACTTCCACTGTTCTCTTTGCAACTTTCAGCTGTTTTCGTAGCTTCGCAAGAATGGACGTCTCTGCTGCTGTGCTTTGAACTGAACAATTTAATTAATATTTTACATGTTCGAATGGGTTTCCTACACTCAAGATATTTTTTTATTAATATTCTTTTAGTATGATTAGTTTTGTAAAATTTTTAAATATTTTTGAAAGTAATAAACAATTATTCATCAAAAGGCGAAAACAAATTCAGAGGAGACAAAGTAAAGCCGTTTGAAATGAAGTTTTTGTTCGATTGAGCTTACAGAATTTGATATATTTGCTGCTAGTGCGTTTCTGTGTATGTATTTTGCGTAATCTTGTTGCATGTTCGACTAGAGATGAAAGCAAATAAAGTAGACCAAACCTATTCGAATGATTTGCATTTGTACCTAAAATATTTCAGATATTGGATGACCAATGAGCTTACCAGTATTGTTTCTTGCAGTAGGGACATAACACAGGGAGGAAGCCTAAAAATTAATATATTAAAGAGGGTAAAAACTTCATGGCGAAAAAGAGGATCATTGTATTTAATTATTTCAGTTTATTCGGCAGAAATAAATTGTCGTCAAGCTAAGAGTCTTCTAGATTATAAATTTTTCATATTAATGTATTACCTCTACACGCTGTGCTGCAATGATCCAAGAAAAAGGTAGCAAGTCAACAATCTGCTAACATTCAGAGAAGAAAGGCAATACCTACATCGTTATCATATACCATGCAATACAGGTTTGCTTCCCTTAAGTCTTTGATCACCTTTCTGTCATAAGTCTGTCTCAGTATAACGTCGACTCAATCTGCAACTGATAAGGTATAACTGAATTTTTTAGTTCAGCACTAGTTTTTTATTACTCATCAAACAAACTTCATGATACTTGTCTTGCGCAAGTCTGATATGTTGTTCTAGCATCAGTTTTTTTATCAACCACCAGAGTATTGTTTTCCGTGTTATTCTACCATAAGTCTTTTTAAGCGTATTAAAGTTTTGAATGTCTCTGCTTCGCT